TGTTTGAACAAAGGGCTCTCGTTGATTTGCTGGCCCGCCTTCACTTAGGGCGGGCACGAGGCTTGCTGGGGGCCTTAGCCCAGAACATGTACATCACGGCAAGGCCCCTTTGAGGGCTCAATCCTCACAATACGTTAGAATTAATTAAATTCTTTTTCGATATTTCTTTCTTTTTTCGAAATTCTGCAGTAACCCGTGTTCTGCAGCAGTCTGGGCCCTCGAAACAGAGCCCAGACGATGCAGGCCAAACTCGGCCTGCGCCAGGCAGTGTGACCACACACTGCCAATGGGGAAAATCAACAGTCCAAGTCAACTGTCAGGTCAATGGTACCGCGCCCAGGCCCTTGATCGGATACACTCACTTGTTGTGCGCAGGTACCCAGACAGCATCAAGGCCAGAAGGAATTCGGTTTCAGACCGATCTGGGCCGTCATCTGCATTGAGATCTGGACAGCTGAGGGATGCAGTATCCGGGGTCTAGACCGTGCGTCAACGCTACATAAGCGCTGACTTCCTGACTTTGACATTCATTCTGTCTTGCGTCAATGCTGACTTCACGCGTTGACTTCGACGCTAATGCGACGCTGCGACACTGACTGGACGCTGGCACTTGAGCGACTATGGCAACGCACTGCTGGCTCGGCATGGTGGCTGGCTGGCAATTGTCTTCTGGGCATGCTGATGTGGCAGCTGCCACGCGCTGCCGCTGACGTGGCTGCTGCCACATGTATTCTTGCTGATGATATTGCTGTTCTGATTCATCGTCACTCGGAAGGAGATCAAGACTGTGGGGCGATTATAGATACGTACCTGGTTCTCGATGTTGACATTGCTCCAGCTCGCTGATGATGACAGGTTGACGTGCCACGTGGCACATTGAGATGAGATAGAACTTCAGTTTTGTGTTCAGACTATTGTTTATTGAGGTGGCGATTGAGGAGGGAGCCCGAAGCAGAAGCGGGCATTGTCTTCTTTCTCAAGTCTAAGTCTATTCTCCCCTCTAACTCTTTTGTCTATGTATGTTTCCCCATCTCATTCTATCTGGACATGATTATGATTATTGACAATCATCAGCAGGTTGATAATCTATCAGGGCTTGCATTGTTGACATGTGTCTTCACGATCTGGGTTCATTGCAATTTGGTATCGGAGCTGTACTTCCAGTGCTGTGACTGACGACGACGACCTGTATGACGACGGTGAAAAGTGGTGATGCCTACAACAGAGGAGCTGACGTGGACAAAAGAGGGGCAGCGCACGTCAGGTGCTGACGTGGCATTGGTATCCCGACAAGGGAAGTCCAGCAGGATCGCATTGCGATCCAGATCGCAATCGATCGATCTGCGATCGGGATGGCATTGCTGACGTGGCCGGTGATTGTTGAGGAGTGCTGACGTGGCATGGCTGACTCACCACTTGTTTTTTGTGGTGAGAGGCTTCGAGCTGACGTGGCACTCCATTACCTGGCTGACGTGGCATTGTACGAGGCGTTGGTATCGCTCCCGACG